GCCAGATGCTGTGGGATGGAAGTGAAAAGTGATACCACGTCGAAAGAAACCATCGCTTCGTCATCTGTGACGATCTTGTTACAACGGGATTACGTTTATTCCGGGGCCGTCGTTCGGACGCTGACTGTCATCGCACGTATTTCCATTGACCTTAGCTCTCGTTCTAGGCTGGCAATCTTCTTTGCCACCCCACAGCCACTTGTGTTCTCACCTGCCGCATAAGTGGCAGTAACGGTGGCATTTTCATAGTGTCCGTTAGCGTTACTGCGCTCGTTCGTATTCACACCTGCCGGATAAGTGGACGACGCGGCTGTAGTAACGATCGCACCTTCGTCAGATTCGGGTTGTAGTACAGCTAGTCATAGCTGACTGACGACGACTAATAAGCCAGAAATGGCAATTCCAGTCTCCCTTGTCTATGTTAGTAATAAGATACTGCCTATGTCATGCGCCTCTGTGCGGCTGCTGGTTGGGCTCGAGAGAGAGTCCGTAAGGCACAACGGAACGAGTGAGTTCCGTAAAAACAATCGGTGACCGTCCCCTACCATTAGCCTATCTCCGAAGATGTGCTCGAGCATGAACACGAAACATCAGATGAATAAACCTTCTTCCCCAGAGATCGCCTCATCCTCCTCTTCCTCAGTGCCTCGCCACCTGTCATTCTCTGTCGCTGCAGATCGGGTATTTATCAATCAGGAGTGAGTGCACACCGATCTATTGGCTTCCCAAGGCAAACGAGCCTCGTATGGGTGGTAAAGGTTCTTGGGATTATGCTGCACGGTTATTAGTATTAAAACCCTACTTAAGTAATCTTTTCGAGTCGAAAACGTATTTCAGAATTTCGGCTAACATTTCATGAGTAAGCTCGTCTTCTCTACCCGCATTCTCTGTCGTCCCTCCTTGCTGCTATTATGGCTTGGCCGACTTCGGCCTGGTAATTGGTTGCCTGTTCGTGACCTTTGCCACGCATACGGAGCTTGTTTGCCTCGGGAAGCCAATAGATCGGTGTGCGCCCATTCCTGATTTATATATATATATATATATATATATGAATAAGGGATGTAGTATGCATTCCCAGGCGATATAATAAAAGGAGAAGGCTCGTCGGAAAATCGAGGTATACACGTGAATTTTTAAGTCGTTTTTACCAACCCGTCGTCAGACGAAGTGAAAGGTGTGAGAGAGATAATCACACTAGGGAGGTGGGGGACATCAAGATTCCATCGATAAGACAGACGTTTATATGTGGGGGTGAAGGACGTGTTTGGATAGGTGACGGACGTTAGGGGAGGTGTTGAGTGTTTCACACATGGTTCACTCTGTGAAGGCGGTGCTGAATCTGTGATATTCTACATGGCCGTCGACATCTTTGTTGTAATAAAGATCTGCGAAGTCGAACGGCTGCATTAGAGGCTGAATGATGTCTTTCCGGCCATACAATTTACTCGCGAAGAGGCAGTAGGAGGCAATGTGTCGTTTTGGACGTAAAAATACAAAGGCTGGACGACGGTAATCTCGCAACCAGCGTCCATAGGAAAGGGTCTGATTCTGAGATCATCCTCAATTATGGAAGCCATCACCCTGCGGCTCACAAAAGAAGCTGCGTCAGAACTCTCTTCCACGGGGCCTACCGGTATTGCAGCAATGACAATCTGCTGAAGAAAGAACTAGGTTATCTATATCGGCTATTTCGACCTAACGGATACCCGATCAGTTTTGTGAAGAACTGCCTAAGGCGTCAGGCACAACCTCGAGGGCCCTCCTCAGATGGAGAAACCGTGACCCAGAAATTCTTCTCCCTGCCCTATATGCAGGGGGACCTCAGAAATGATCGCACGTCAGCCAAATCAGTTCGGTATTCGCGTTTCCCACAAGCTTGCATCATCGCTGTGCACAGTCTTAACTCGAGTAAAGGATTCTATCCCCAAAAAGGAACAGAATAACGTCATCTATCGCATCCCGTGTGCCAATTTTCCCTGCGTATATGGTGGTCATACAGGACGACGCCTAGGAACTCGACTTAATGAACACAAACTAGCCATCCGTCGCCGTGATCCACTGTCCCTCGTCTCTGCACGCGCACTCCAGTGCGACCACCGTTTTAATTGGGATAACACCGAAGTCATCGCCACGGCCAACACAAAACGGGCGACAGCCCGTATATCATGCGTCGCTGTGCGGCTGCTGGTTGGGCTCGAGAGAGAGCCCTTAAGGCACAACGGAACGAGTGAGTTCCGTATGAACGATCGGTGAGGGCCCCCTACCATTGTATATTCCCGATCGAAAACCGACAGGACAACGGGCTCGTGGCGCAGTGTTTAGAGGCGTGGACTTATAACTAACAGGTCGCGAGTTCGAGGCTAGGGTGTTCCACACTTCGGGCTTGGGTATGACTGGCTGACGACTGCTAATAAGCCAGAAATGGCCATTCCAGTCTCCCTTGTCTTTGTCGGTAATGCCATTCTGCCTATATATCATGCGCCGCTGTGCGGCTGCTGATTGGACTCGAGAGAGAGCCCTTAAGACACAACGGAACGAGTGAGTTCCGTATGAACGATCGGTAAGCGCCCCCTACCAATATATGCATATATATATATATATATCAGAGGGTAGATTGCAGGGTCTGGAGAGTAGATTTATACAGCACTTTTCGGTCTTGTTTGCCTTGGCACCTGCCATTCTCTGTCGCTACAGATCGGGTATTTACTCAATCAGGAGTGGGCACACACCGATCTATTGGCTTCCCAAGGCAAACGAGCCTCGTATGGGTGGTAAAGGTTCTTGGGATTATGCTGCACGGTTATTAGTATTAAAACCCTACTTAAGTAATCTTTTCGAGTCGAAAACGCATTTCAGAATTTCGGCTAACATTTCATGAGTAAGCTCGTCTTCTCTATACATGTTTTGGAGCGTAGACATCCCAAGAAATATAATTTGATGGCTAGCACGTGTTGACCGGTCTGAGTCAGCTTGTCCATGAAATTGTCAAAGGCTCGTGAATGACTCCTCTTCTAGACGCATCAGTTGGGCCTGTTTAAGACCTGACCAGAGCTCATGCATACAATCAAGGGCGGAGAGGTTGGAGGCAGCCCGGCGCATGGTAAAGCGGTGTGTTGTGGTCATATGACAGTTCGACCATCGGTTTCGATTATGAAAAGGCAACAGAATTTATGCCGTAAATTTTCGATACCAGCTCCTTGGATCGTCGTTGAATGTCGAGCGAATGTGCAAAACAGTTAACTTTTTAAACTTGCCTGGAAGAGTCGGTACCTCTCTGACGTCCGCGCTACTGAACGGCTGTCGTATGCTATCATATTGTTCGAAGTTGCTGCCGTCTCTCCATGCCTCTGAAATTTTTGTATGGGACATCGAAGCCAATGCGTCGATTGATGCATGTCTCACCCGAGCGCATGGTCTCTACAAATTCTCGCCCTTTTTGGTAGGACTTCCCTCAATACTGCGAGTTTTGCTCCAGTTGAAGGTGCCCCTAGTATTCAGGGCATACAGGCCTACTAGGGATTGGTGGTTTCGCCCCTACACTGCCAGCTAATGAATGTTTGTTTACCATATTTTTGCCGACGACCTGGGAAACCAGCGTTGAAATTTTGCGGAATAAAGTTATTCGATTCCCTACTTGTGTATTGAACATCAATTTATGTCTCACGGGTTGTTTAGCCTTCACTACATTTATCATTTACCCGTAGGAACTCTTCCGTCCAGCTCCTGACCATTCAGCCTGCTGGACCCACGATTTGCTCTGCTGCACCTGCAATGGAGCAGGTGTAAATGCATCGAGCCCTGAAGAGCTCTCAGCCGAGGACGACGAGAAGGATGCAGTGCTGGCGGGGGAGGATGTTCGAGCCTTCCAGTTGGGTCCTTTAGAAGAACGGTCCAAAATGAATGAAGCTTCTGGTGCACCCTGCGCATCCCTAGCGGCCATTAGGAGTTGGCGTCATTTTATTGGCGAGGCTGGTCTGGCCGCGCTGGCGGATCCCATCCTTCCCGTGAGCGCACCCCAGATTTGCGCCGTATTCCGCGTTGTTACTCAGGAACCTGGAACATGCGTGTGAAATCGCTTTCTCAGAAGTTCTTTACAAGTTGCATTTGCTACGTCCTGGCATTGTTTTTGCACTTATACTTCTTCTAGTACACAATTCTGATCTATTTTCGATTGATTTGCTGTTTTTATTCTCTTTCCTACTCTAAAACTTGGCACTGCTATGTTAGTTGTACACAATGGATCTGAAAATCAGAGGCGGTCAAAGCTGACCTATAAGAGAGCGTGGTCGGCTAGAAACAACGGAACCACGTTGTCCAGTTTCTCCCTGCCAGATGCGTAATACACGGCAAATCGCAAAGACCCCTTGTTTGTGATTATGTACAATCGGAGTTTATGGCCTTTAAAATAGTGCACTACGGCGCCTTCTTTCCAGCGTATCGGCACCACGACTACTGCGGCCGCAAAGATTTGCACACTCTGCTTCCTTCAGACTGAATCCGCCCACTATCCACTTTGATCCGCCCCAAGATATCGAGTCGCATTTTCTGGCCCTGACCCCTCTATCCCTTTTCAAAAACTTTATTTTAAAAAAAATCACATTAAGGGTCGGCGATACCAGCGCGAACTGCAACAATGTATCATGCGAAGGCCCTCTACTATGACATCAACATGTCTTAGCGCGAATCGCAAGATCGGTAAGCCTTGTAGACGCCCGGAAGTCAGCATGCAAGACGGTACTTTATTTCCAGCGATAACTATTGTCGAAAACAGCCCGCACAGAAGGAGGATTGGAGACGGGTTTGTTTAGTTCCAAGCAGAGGATAAATGCACCTTCTCCCATGCCGTGACTCGACGCCTGTCTGTTCCGCATATCCGATCTCAGGCACAGGGAGTACATTTGCGGCAGTGTGCGATCATCATCGCTGGTGATTTGTCATGCGGCCTCTGCTCACCTCACGTTCCCTGTCGATTCTCTGCTGGTACCGCGCGAGACTTGTCGTTAGCCTCGCGAGAGCTCGAAGCCAATCCACACTGGTTCTTCGTTAATTGCCTGCAGGCGAACACAGCCCAAACCAGGCCAGAGGCGCACACGCGCTATGGGTTAAGAACCTCAACAGCGGACACAGAAAACACACCTGAAGAGGCAGATTGTGACAACTGTTTGCTGAGCCCTCCTGTACGATCCCGCAGTAGGGCTTGTCCAGCCTAATGTGTCTTCCCTGACTTGTGATTTGGGGACCGTATTGTCGACCCATTTCACCGTCGACATATTTCGCCGTTCGTTTTACTCCGTATTTGACCCATGAATTTCAGGTGTGCTCTTGTCCCTATTCAAAAAAATGTGTAAGATACTACTTCATCAATTTCATGCCTATGGACTATAGTGCCTTCATCTTTTAGTGAGCCATGACGCTGACTACGCTCACAGGAGGTGACGCACGAATAATGGCAACACTTACTGGGGGACGGCGTTTAGTAGGCAACTTGGTAAACACCTTCAGAAATTCTCATTTTCTTAACCTGTGGCTGTCGCAGCATAAATTGATAGGGGGGTTTTAGTGTAGCATTTTCTCAAACATTTTGCCTGTCCATTACAAAAATGCGGGAAATGAAAGAAAACGAGAACAACTGCTTTAGCCCCGGTAAAAGAGATCCTCCATTTTTAAACAGAAAACTCTTCTACACATAGATTTTGAACTCTCCTATTGTCCGACGCTTTTTTAACTTCACACTTTGGGGACGGCACACAAGTTACTCCTCGTGACACTACAGCATTCTGTCCTCTTGCCAACAATGAAGTTAACTCGACGTCACCATCCGGGCTAGTGTCGAGCTTCTCTACCGACCTCTCACTGTCTGGCTGACATTGCCGCTGTAGCTGCTGATCGGTGTTGGGTGGTGAAGTATCCCGGAGGGTTTCTGTGGTGGCTATTTTGTCAAACCTGGGTCTCTGGGCGCAGAACCAGTGGGTCTTCAAAGGCCTACCAACGACGGCCAATGTGAGTCGCCTCGCCTCGTTCAAACCACCGATAAGAAGACCGGCCTTTAGGAGGGCGAAGAGAGGCGGAATGAACTGTAGGGTATGTTCGGCGATCTGCATACACAGGAGAAGGCCTGATCCCAAACTCTGTCGATGGGTCTTTTTGACAACCACTGTCTTCAAATTGGCGGGCTCTCCTACGTCAGTCTCCTCGTAGAATACGACACCAAGTTTGGCCGGGTGATCCCCTGAAAAATGTTTGGGTTGGAACAAAGACAGAGGTTCTGATAAGTGCGTACTCTAGCAAACGGATTAGACGAACGAGTAAAGGTCATTCAGGATACAACTGTTGAAAAATTTTCCGCGAAAGAATGGGCGGCTGGTTTTCAGAGGAAGTGCGAGGGACCGACATATTCTTTGGGGTGATGTAAAAGTTGTATCGTAATTGTTCAGTACCAAGTCGGCTTTCGAGGAGTGGATTTACTGCACTTCCTTGCACTGTTCTGTACAGAAATCTTTCATGACGGATTGTCGATACCTTCGGTCGCCTAGCCTACTGTTGAGTATGTGTCCATTCCGTTGCAAGGTGCCTTGGAACTAAGTAAATTCAAACGGACATTGACTACCTATTTTTATGATCTAAAAGTTTTCCTAAGAATGTTACGAATGTGGGACAGCCCCTCTTTACACGATCGCGAGTTCTAAAAAGGGTTAGAAGCTTTCAACTGCTGGTCTCATACCCTAAGCGTGAGTGGCACTGTTCAGTGCTGGGGGTACTACATTATGTGGTGGGTTGCCAAAATTTTTGTGAACGAATAGTAGGCAAAACCGAATGTAGCAATGGTCTTGTTAACTATAGATGTAGTTGAGAAATCAGAAAACCAGACCAATGTTCATATTCATGCTCTCCTCCAGAACTAGTTTACTGGTTTAGCGGATTGGGAAGCAAGAAGGTAAGTGATAGATTTTTAACCTTGTTAAACCGGTAATTGATGCAACCTTATAGGATTTGCTAGCGCTAGAGTGGTCTTCACTTACTATTTTTAAGAATTGCCTGATTTGAACTGCAACGACATTCTCGCTCGAATTTACATAGTCACTGCCTGTCGAGACAATAAAGCACTACAAGGACGCTCGCCAACTTGGCCTGATTACGAGACAGGATGCGGAAAATTCTATTTGTCTTGGGGAATTCGACCTAGAACATTCGTATAGTGACGAGCAATCAGTAAGCACAAGGTGTTGTCGACAAAGACAAGGAAGATTGCAAAGCTCAACTTGGTCTGGGCTTGAATTTGGAGTCCTGCTGGTCGCAGGGATGATATATGCCTACCTGTAGGCCGGAAATAGTCTGTTTATTTTCTTATCTGTGCCGGTTGGCAGTTCTGTGGCGACAACACTGTCTAATGCCGCTCGGCGTACGACGAACACAACTCGTGGTCCAGGGCACAAAAATTGCGGAGTGCAGCCCTGCAGTTTTAATCGACCACCTGGTTTGCTGGGGCCAATTATAATCTCGAGACTTTCGATTGGCGGATTCGTGATTCTGATCGCCAACTTTACAACAGTGATATAATTATTTACCATACGGACAATACAGGTACTAACTGTAAGTCCTGACACGCGCGTTTCGCCGATCTTGTGCCGCTGCCTGACGCAGCCGCGAGGGGTTCGGCTTATCAGTGGGACCCCAGCCTTCCCCCGTGTTTTTTGGTATATGAACTCCAGTTTCACCTGGCCTTGTTTAATTTTCGAGGAAATTGATGGATCATTTTCGTGTTTTTATAGACGGCGCAAACTTGACGCGCATGATTGGTGTCGAGACACACACTAAATCAACCTTTGTTCCTATTCAAGATTTTTTTCGCCGTTCATCAAGAACTGTCAAAAATCCCTAGTCATAGTGCATCATCGGCACTTTACACTCTTTTGACAGATTACCAGTCCACGGTTTCAAACCCTCCTTTGCAAGTACACAGTTGCAGTTTTTAACGGTTTTTACTACGTCCATTCTAGTGGTTAATTATTTCTGTATTTGACCCCTCAGCTAATTATCTTTCTTCAGATGAACTAGTATTCAAAGTACGTTATATGAAAATTTTCGGAAAATACCCTCCAAAATCGATTATATCAAGTACTACATGAGTTTGGCTGGATAAAATTAAATATGGGGTATTCTTTACAAAGAAGGAGAGGTTTGGACGCGTCTGATCCTTAGCAAGACAGCGATATCCCGCGATATCACTAATGAAATGTACAGTAGGTGAGCTAACTCATGAAATGCCAACCGAAATTCCAAAATGCGTTTTCATTTCGAAAAGATTAATTAAGTAAAGTAAAACTAATCATCGTGCAGCACAGTTCTATAATAATTCAGTTACCTTAGGATACAGGCTGTCGAGCGAAATTCTTTCCGGTTGCATGCAAAAACTATACTTTGCGAAAAATTAGCACGTGAGTAGCATGCGTTTTTCATCAATTTTCGATGCATGTCACTTAAGTACTCATTTCTTTCAGAGAATATTGCTTACATGCAGCCGGAAAGAAGTTCGTTCGACAGCCGGTATCCTAAGGTAACTGAATTATTATAGGACTGCGCTGCATGATTATTAGTTTTGCAATATTACCTACTTAATCTTTTCGAAACAAAAACGCATTTCGGAATTTCGGTTGGCATTTCATGCGTTAGCTCACTTACTTGTAAGACTATTACGTTTGTCGTATTATGACTTTATTTTCTAGACGGACACTTCTGGGGAAAATATTTAATCAGATGAACTAGTTGTCGGTAGATCCCTGCTGAAATCTCCGAGCGCGACGTACTTTTCGTTACAACTTTATTATATTTTGGAGTCACCTCCTACGCCTGGCGAAACTGTTCCTAATTCCGATCCTCCTGAAACGCTAACGCAGTCCTTCTCGAACTTTTTGGAAAAGTTGATTGAAGATGGACTCATATTAACTTCGCCAAAGTTTGCGCCTAATGGGGTAAGTCCCGACGGGACTAAATTGTGACGATGGAACGAGCTTGCATGAGAATTGCTTAACAGTCTGTGATACCTTGCATTTGCTAACTCGTCCATAAAAGAATTATTAGCATTCGAGATCACGTCGAGCATATCAATCTTGGATTAAACGTTTATGTACTGCATCTTGCAGCCATGTGATAAGTGCATGAATTTGCTGGCCAAACAGACCATTAATAGATTGGCAGGAAGCTAGTGCAGTCCCCAGAGGACTTTAGCACTGCAGCTCCGCATGGCAACGCTACTCTTCTGGCCGAGCTTTTTTGACCCCTAGCATAATTTTGTCAATTGATGTAGTTTCCAACTAGAATGTTTATGTGAAATTGTACTCTTCTGAAATTTGAAATTCTGATGGTCATCATTGATGAAATTGTTCGTTAAGGGACGGATAGTTGAAACAAGCTTGGTCTGAAATTTGAGGATGACAGTAAAATAGCGAGAAATAACTGTCACGTCATTCCTGCCTCTTCGTTAGGAGAAAACGAGCAGGAGGGTGTAATTAAAAAGAAATGGTTCGTGACTCCCGGAATTAGTGCATTTCGCTCCAAAGCACGTGACTTCGCTTCGCGTGATAGAACGGTTTCTATGTCTAACAGGGAAAAGGCAAGCGCTTCGATGCAGGGGCAGTGGATTGACAAACATCGCATCAGTTCACTGTAGCGGTAAACAAAATGGGACACTCTCCGACTTACAAAGACAGACAAAACAAATAGAAAGAACAACAGTTAGTCAGTCCGCCGCTAAAAATGAACCATCGATTCTCTGCTGAAATATGGGAGTGAGGCCGGCAATGCAATCGACAATAAGCGTAATAAAAGCTATGTATCCGCAAAGTGTACGACGACCAGTGATGTGGGCCTGGGGGTAATTGCGCTGTCAGATCGATACATCGATCGAGTTCATATCCGAAGCCCAGGCTTCAATATATTCGCGGCTTGTTCTGCAATTGTCATGGTGGCTGCGCGGACGAATAAGTCACCCGTTCCGAAGTTGTGGGCAGCCCCATGTGACAATTCGTTACCCCCTCACACAGGCCAGACTGAACTTATGCTCGGATCGCGCATACACGTACATAAGCTAGCTGCCGATGGGCTGACGAATCAACACGAGTGACTGCCCATATATTGGATGCTCGTTCAGTCTTCTCTACTCATGTACGCTCGTGGAACGCAAACATTCGCCTCCACTTAAATACATATTTGGCAGTTTGCCACTGCAGTACTATTCTAATTGGAATCACCTACCTACCTAGCAGTTACGTATGGCTAGGCTATGTGAACAGATTAAGATGTACAGTTTTCAGCCGAAGTTCAGTTACTGCTGGCATAGATATTGTGTTCAAATAAGCTAATAAGCCCACAACGTGAAGGTTTGGCAGACGCTGTTCCGTTACCATAGAACGTTTATTTCCGACGCCTTTCGAGACATTTGAACAACTTTAACTCGCCTGCCTCATGATCGCAACAGCTTGTTCGTTGAGGCATCGTTTTGCAAAGTCCATGAGGTGGCAAGCAGTCGGACAACTACCACAAATGGAATAACTACACAAGTAGTTAGTTGACTCTACTTAGTGCAAAGATTTCATTAGGCCGTTAGTTCCAACTACCGACCCCTACAATCAGAAATCAGGGTTTTCTACCTGCACTTCAATTTTGCGTCTTAAGAGCTAATGAATAGAAAGTTGAAAGCAAAGATCCTTGGAACCTATGGCTGTCACATTAACAGGAGGAAAAAATAGAATGGCAATTTCATGTAGAATGGATGGTCGTTGACGGATATGAACATTCTTCTTGCACAGCCTATATGGCTGGGGACCCATTGAAAAGAAAAGGACTCTTGTCCATGCTAAAATCAACTTCCATTCACGAAAACAGAACGTACCAGCAAATAGAAAGTACTTAATCCCGTAGTAAAGAAGCCTGGGCAGGATGGACGAACCGTTGAGCATGTAGAAGATAGGAAGAATCCATATTGCCTGTTCAAGAAGTCGGCGTTTCAGAAAGGGAGATCGGACCTGCCTCGCATGTTTCTCCAACTGCAACTGTAGGAAGTGCGCGTGTCTTGTGCGGGAATAACACAATCTTGAAATACAGATTATGCCCGCTAGAATTGGGATTATGCAGGGCAGAATATCACCGACCAGATGATCCGCCAGTGGCCAGAGATAGGAAACAAAAATGGGATTCAGTGGCCAGGTCGACAAGAAATCGCACTGATAGAGAACATTCACGTCTCCAGAGGTGATATGATTCTCCACGCCAGAGAGGTCAAACGTCCAAAAGAACTGACTGTCCATGGTGGCCATCAGAGCGACGGCCAAAATCAGAATATTATAGGCACAATTGCGGCTAAAGGAGGCATAACGGTATCTAAGGTTTTTGGCATGTCTCAGGGTATCGAGGGCCAGACAGAGGTAGAGTAGACCCTGCACATGCCGAAAGCAGCTGTTTGCCATGGACAGCGACTGACAGGCAGATCGGCCGACAAACTGGGCAATAGTCAGCACCCGGATACCTTTAAAGAGAACCAGCAGGCAGTCTGCCAACTGGAGAATCAGGCCCACGAACTCCAGCATAAGGATGTACTCCAGGAAGCTGGCGATGGGCAGTTTGGTGATGGAAAGTCTCCGCATTGCATGAAGAGTCGGCAAGTAGATTAAAATATCAAAGACGTACAGAAAAGGGAGGATGAGAGCCCAGAGGCCTGGTGCTTGAAGCTTAATTAGGTCATTCACCAGCAGAAGAGTTTTGCTAGTATTTTGATTCCAGCCTCGAGTGCCGACTCCTTCAAACAAGGGAAATAAACCGTGGGAATCCTCAAGTGTTTGGCCAACCATGGCGGGCTGTCTCAGATCGCGAAAGTTCCATGACGCAGAACCAGACTCGCCTTTCAGTCCAAATCCATCAACTGGAAGAACAGAATTAGTCTGTATCGGCGTGCCAGATAAAAAAATTTATGTCACTATCGTAAAAAACTTGTTTTGTGCGAAATCCTAGACACACTTTTCGTATCCACTAAGAGATGTTTAGTGCTAAGAAATTTCAGCGAATTTTGATTTTTTCGCCAGCATTTCACTAATCCCGCTAGGCTCTTCAATCCCGCTCTTTGGAATATGAGCTTTTATAAATGCTACAGCACGCACTGACAAAGGATCGTTCGCCTTTCATTTTGGCGGAGCTTGTAGGAAGCAGTCTACTTAGGCACTAGCTGTTGAACGCTACCCCTGACTGATGACTGGTAAGAATATTTATACACGCACACATCCGCAATTTACTTCTGACAAACCAACGAGTTAATGTCCTCCTTCTTAAAGTGTTAAAGATTTTCTTGTTTTTTCTCCTTCAATTTCAATTAGTTTAGCCATGGGTTTCCCTGTGTCAGTAGCTAATTTTCTCAACTTGGGGTATTATTCCCAATGCAGGTCTTGTTCTTAGCAACCTGATGTGCGTGGCCAATGAGTGTTGTACTCTGCCCTGGCTACAAAAAACAAAATCTTCAAATTTGGGGAACGTCTTAAGTTTTAGTTGTGTTGCGACAAATGGTTATCATTTGGCCACTTCTGAAAGGTGGAACAATTCCCTTCCTCGTATAGAACCTAACGCATATTTCTGACTTCTGTATGTCTTCCTGCGAGGTCTCACTACATATGATATGGATTCCGACGCATCCCCATCGACTTGAAACGCCTCAAGCCTTCTGCCTCTGGCAGCTAAACCGCGTCTGGAAGCATGTGATGACGGCTTCCGAATGGCCGGAATATACGCATATGTTGCTTCGAGGGCGGCCAATCACAGGCGCCACAAACACCACGGTCACCCAATCAACCCACGAAACTGGCGACTGAATGTCACGTGACGCTTATACATTCGCGCCCATATCATCATGGTCGACGTACGCGCGCGCGAGCCCGGAGCCGACCGCGCGTCGGAGTTCTGACCGCCACCGAGCTTCTGAACAGCATACACGTCTTTCAGTGATGTCTTTTTATTCCCCTCCAAAATGCGATTGGGCCATGATTAAAGTGGTTAACTACTTAGCTACAAAAGGGATGCTGTTAGTATTTTTACTGAACCGACTTTACTTCGCTCCTTAGTGGGATAGATGCTCTGGAGAATTCTAATAAAGCTCCCCGTTGCTATAAAGATCCCACATTTAATGAATAATGATTACACAATTTCACCGGTAATTAATGAATTTCATTTAGTGCTCCCTTTAAGGTACCTGTCATCATTTTTAGCATTCAGGTAACAGCAAACTGTACGTCCACCGTTCCCTTTAGGGATGCCCTTTATTTGACACACAATATGTTGTACTTTGTTGGATTTTGAACAAGTCAGTCAAATCGAGCGGACTCAAGCACACTTACCACCGCACCTTCCTATCATTTCGCAGACGTAGAGTTGAGTATATTTGCACAGATATTATCAAGTAATCGAAGATCTTAAAGACCCAAATGATCATAGATATCGCCCTTAAGTGCGGATTCTTTAAATAATCACTGTGGATGGACTCTTTAAAGTTTGTAGCAGAACGATCTACATGAAGACTGACCGGTTCGGTAAGGAGTTCAGTTGTGACCGACAAAAGTAGGTTTGTGGTGACAGAATACAGTGAACCGCGTGCGCTTCGTACTCACTTAACAGATCGAAATGGATCGAAATAGAATCTAAGGGGCCCATTTTCCTAAGTGCCACTGAAGTGAAGGAAGATCATTCAGTAGAGTACGGGAATGGGTGCCTCCGTATAACAAGTAGCCTTGCGCCAAATTCTAGAAGGGGGGGGGGTAGTGGGGGTTAGAGTTGGCGTCAGTGCTAAGGTTAGGGTTAGGATTAATGTTAGGACATGGGAATAGGTACCCCTGGAACTAGGCGCGAGACCGCCGGTAGTAGGAGGCGGGTATTTCTACCCAAAACCGGTCGTAAAAAACTTAACTCCGACTGTGAGCGATTTACCAAGGTCAATTTATAAGACGAGGAAATTCGCTGGTTCCAATACGTGTAGGTTTAATCGCAACGGCGTTATCCCGGCGGGTTATGCTCCCTAAGTATGTGGACAACTGTACGATTGTCCTAGGATGAAAATCGAAAAAGTAGTTTAAAATGGCGACCACATTTGCATTTCGCTTCCCCATGAGTAGTTCCTGGTCTACGAATTTTCTCAGGTTTGCAAGCTAATATTCTCATGTACTTAATGGATTTGTTAGCTCCTTAAAATCAAATTTACAGAGCGTATCGTGCCTCTTGTGAGAACACATGTTTGGTTTCTTCCAAGGGAAAGATTGAATATCTTCGAATGACTTATATACCTCAAAGAATGAGTGGGTGGTAGCGCACTCCCTTAGAACTCTAGCCGCCATTGCCAACGGACGCCGACTGTCGCCTGCCGTCCCTACAATTGACAGACCCTGCGGTGGGTGTCTGTCGAACTTGACGCCGATGAATAACTTCCTCTTATAAGTGCGCTAAAGCCTTCCCCTTACTGCGTGGGTTCGAATCCCACCGAGGCACCGAGTTTTTCACAGTTGGGTCAATATGAATATGAATCAACCTTCAGCTAGCTACGTAGGCACACTTTTTCGGGCAGTTTTCATCTCATTTATTTTCACTGGGATTCTGCTCTCTCTGCTGTGGTAAAACTCGTTGCTTGATTGCATTTCCTTGTTTTTGGGTTTAGGAATAAACTTAAGTCCTTTATCGGATACTAAAAATGCCTTAAAAATACACCACTCCTGTCAACTCGCACCACGATGCCGTGGCAAAAGTTGCCTTGCAGGGGCCAACGTTTTGAAAACTTTCGTACAATAATCTGAGTGTGCTGGAGATTACGGTATCTGGTTTGGTTCCCACCAGACATTTTACACTGATGTCGGACTAGTTGATTTTACAGGAAATGTAGTCTCGAGCATTACGATGCCTCTCTAAAAGCAGTATAATTATACGTAAACCAAGGATTTGTAATACGGGCGACTAAGATTGAAAGCTTCCTAAAACTATTTAGCAATGACAGTTAAAGTTCTCTGAGTGCATTCCTCTGAGGAAAATGAAAAAACAATTTTCATGCAGGACACAACCGAATGTGGAGACCATCACAAGTAACGTTTCTCATGGTCTTTACACTCAAACTACACAGGTTAGAATGATTTAATTTAGTTTTATTAATTGGGATGCATCAAGTTTTGAACTCTGTTGTCCTTTGCCTCACAGGGTCGTTAAGTGCTAAAGTTAACCATTTCGGAAACTTTCAAACGGATCAGTGTTTGAAAGCAGAAAATAGAGCGGCCGTGACAAAAGAGAGTTGTATGCTAACTACACTTTATTAATGTGGAGCTACATTCGCCACATCAGAGGACGCAAATCCCAAAGCCTACAACAGTATTTGTTTAGGGAAGCTGCTATGTTATGACAGTAATCGGTGAAGGCCTTTCGTCAGCAAGACAGTTTCTGTCGAACGCAACAGAACAGAAGGTAACTATTACCTAGTTCAGTGTTAACAAATTTTCAATTAAAAAATAAAATAAGGAACCCAACAGGAAACACTACCTACTTACTTTCGAAGCGTTATTAATGGAGAATTTTTAGGGTACCTTTGTCTTTAAATTGCAGAGAGATTTTTGCGAAAGTTTGCCATGACGCAATCAGCTTTTACTATTCTTTGGCGACGTATCATGCCGTTTAGATTTCAATTAAGTAAACCAGAGCTATCTCTTTCTGCCTATATTTCGGAAGAACTTAAAAAAGCATGCGAAAATCGTTTTACCTATTCAGAGTTTTCCTAGCAGACTAGAAGAATTCCCAAAAGTGCTCAGCATTTCCTTGCACTAGATTCAAACTGAAAAGCTTTCCAATCAAAGGAAATGCCGTTGTGATAGGGCCTTGGAATTAAAGTTATTCTGTAAGTCAAGAATTGCTGTAGAAACTAAAATACCGGACGAAATATGCTTGACATATTATGCAAATTAAAATTACAAACCTTTTAGGTCAATGGACACTGTCGGATCAAACCAGTATACACAAGAATAGTCATTTAGTCGGTTGGCGCAGTAGGATAGGTAGTCCTGCTCGAAGTGTCCAGTAAGGAGAAACTCAAAAACGCTGACATTTAGGTTTACGGGTATGAATGCGGCCTCTGTGTCATAGGGTTGGCTAGCGGAGCTCGCCTTTCCCCGTACACCCCCACGACCCATCTAGCACAAATCAACGAAGATTCGGCTGGCCTCTCTCCTGTTAGTAAGATCTAAACCCTCGGATGCAGTCCATGCATGCTGACCCATGTTCGACGTCATGCTGACATCGCTGACCAATCACACAAAACTGTCCATGATTAACCAACCAGCTTAGACCGTATCATTTTCAGCGCTCATTGGCTAGACTGATGGCCGGTTGTCATCTGCGTTTTCCCTTGCGAAGGTTAGTGAAATACACGGATCACTGCGGCCAGGGTCGATATTGTTTGGAGGCACTGACCCGTAAAGTTTACTATCGAACTTGGAGCTGATCGATGGGATTATAAACGGGATGTTCGTTGGAAGATGGCGGGAATGACCTAGAAGTGAAAATTAACAATTCAAGTGTCTAGTAACCATCGGAGGGATGACGTGCCAGGGATTAATTAGCTTGAAAGTGGCGAATACCTTGTTGTTCCGGTCAATATATAATAGATTGTATGTACCGAACTATTTACGCGCTTGTATCCACTTTGTAGTTTGCACAAATAAAGGACTCACCGGCAAATCTGACTCTAGTTTGCCACTGAAATTTTCGAATGGGAATTGAAAAAAGAATTTTGATCGAATGACAAGCAGCTTACAATGGAAGAAGTGATTTTCATTTAGATTGGAAAGCCCGTTTTGTCCTCCCTTGATACTATGTAATCAGTAATAAATCACGGCAAAAATATGGCAAATCAAGTGTGCAGTTAGAGGCATTTTCAGTGGAACAGTTGTCTTCAAATAAATCAAGCAAATATAATAAAGTAAATATACGATTTACGGTGGTTAGTTGCAAGAAGTAATGAAATACACTTTAATATCGTCAACTGAAAAGCGTCCGCTTAAGAGTCCTTAAGGCGAAGACACCATGCTTTTTGATATTGGCATAAAAGACATGAATGTAATTTCCCTTGAAAACTGAATTTTTGTCATGGTTGAGAGAAATGCTATTGAGTTGTGACTTATTCCAGAAGACCCATATAATTATTTTCGGCTCTGATGTAAAAAAAACACGAGAAGGAGAGGCATAGAGAGGAGAAGAAGGAGGTCAATGTTAGGAATGCCCATTACAATGGATCGGCATTAAATAATGCCAACTGGAATATTGCGTGGATTTCCAGTTACCTTATGAGGTTGACTCTTAAATGAGTCTGACATTCCAGCAGGCAAAAGCAAAGGCGTCTCTGGAAAACGGCTTGGCGAGCAAGCTTTTGATAACTTCAGCTCTGTACAACTTTTAGTAATCTATCATTTTTGATGTACATTTAAAGTCGCGGATCAAACAGATATTTAATTGTGTAGTTCAGACAGTTTTTAGAGTGACGGGATCTGATATATAATGGCACGGCTGACGAGTAATAATAAGCGGTTACCTGGCGCCGCAATATTTGAGGATCTTTGACAACCTAATTTGGACCACGAGACCCACGGAATGCCCACGCTTTAAGTGGTGTGGCCTGGAGAAATAGTACAGGTACTTAGCCATTATCCATGAAAAAAACGCTGTATGGGAATTTAACACATAGTTTCAGTTTTGCTGCCAACTTCAGTATACCTGTGAAAATGGGACCAGGAATTCAAAGCAAGAGGTTTTTGGAAATAAACCCTCAATCTGTACCCACCTTTATAGGGGTGCCCTCAGCACCAGTTGACTGTTTCTATCGGCTACCGGAGTGATCTCTAAAAAATGGAGGCCTGCTCATGAAAAGGCACATGGAAAAGCCCTGGAAGTCCCAAAAACCCAAGAACACTATAATAACTAGGCCGGACAAATAGTTCTGAAATTTGGAATGAATGCTTTGTTAAGACTAAATTTTCTACTGTCAGAATGAGCGAATTTGCGAAAGAAGGCGGAGAGAAAGGTAACACCAATGATAAGCAAATTCAATTAGAGCGCGGTCTAAAAAAGTAAACTCCTTCGGCGTCCAAATCAAATGCGACTTCGAACCTTTCAGAACACACTTAGGACCTTTATCCCTCGCGTATAACTTGCCGAAAATTCATAAACAAACCAGTTCATGGACCTCTAGTTTAGATATGTGAACGTCACCGAACCATGCAGTCAAAAGCTTAGCGAACACAGGTCCAGCAACGCACAAGTATGAAAAACCATCATAATTAAGACTGATTTCTCAAAATTTAAGACAAATATAGTGCAATAGGTAAACATGTAATTTTGTGTGATTGCGCCACCGTTTATCAACATGCCTTATCAGGAACTGTCATCCCCATCTCCGCATACACTGAGACCTTCACACCAGAAAATAATTACTGGCACAGCGTGACTATGCGTTTATTGTTTGGTGGAAAACTAAAAAGACGAATAACCGGTGTGCTCATAAGTCGGCATTCAAGTTCACTCCTGACTAATGCGGACATGAGAAAACCGGAATAAACCCATATATGCGGACGTAGCAAGTGACTACCACGTTTTAGCTGTCACTAAGGCGATGTATTTGGGGCCGCGTCAGCCGAAAGCACCCTCAGTAGGACGCTTTATCCATTAAATTAGGAATATCTACCAACCGGGTTTACCCTGGGGACGGAAAGAGTCAAAGCGACTAGACTTCTCGGCGCTCATTTAAGTAGACGGCCCTATAGACAATCAATGAGAAGGAAGCCTGATAATTACAGCTAATAAATTTTAGTACTTATTTTCATCTTCGCCAGGAAAAAAATGGCGTGCTGTTTGGTCAGTCGGGTCGCTATAGCTTGCTGATAGAAGAGAACAGGCGAATTCCAGGAAGCAGTTCAGAAGAAGAAGAAGATAATGCGATCACCGGAACAAGAAGTTTATTGGCCAGACGTTTTGGATTCTCACTCGAATCCTCATATGTGACCGTCTGTGATGATGGGTTCGAATGAGAATCCAAAACGTCAAGACAATAAACTTCTTGTTCCAGAGATCGCATCCTCTTCTTCTTCTTCTTCTTCTTCTTCTTCTTCTTCCTCGTCTTCTTCTTCGTTTTATTCTTCGGTTTCTCCTCACTATAGCATGTTCATTAGATGGCTTCAAAGCGGAAGCAGGAAGAAGTCAACACCTGCAAATGCAATACGATGTCCTTACAGCAACGGGTAGTTTGTAGGCGCTTGACTCAACGGTAGAACTGTTGACCTATCAGCAAGGAGGTCTGGACTCGAACTTCAGGTGTTCGCAGCCTGTGGCCGACGCATGGTTGGCTGGCGGCACATAAGCCAGAAATGATGATTTCCGTGTCGACTGTCGTCAAAGTATTTCTGTTAAACCTCTTCACAAAGAGAAAGCAAGGACCGGAGGAAATAATGTGGCGAGGAAGAATCCCGTTGATAAACGAAACGAATCCAATGAACTGACAAAAGTTTGATCCACTCTGTTTTTCCCCTCTCGCAAAGTTTTATTACTATTTTGCAGATTATATCTTGCAAAATACTAATAACGGAGGCGACCTTAATATCCGTTTTCTCCGTCACCTTACGATTTTTCAGGAGAATACGAGACAGAATGCGCAACCCCGGTCTCCTTGAGCAAACATGAATGTGAACGTGCAGCTGTCCAACTCGAATTTCTGCAGGTAGGTCGACGTAAGTTAAATGTTGGCTTTTAGCTGACAGACGTGGTATGCTGCCTCGCGTTTTGTCTCGCCTTTCGATAATCACTAAATACACTATTAAAGACCCGTCCAACTCGTTTCGCAGTTTTTACATTGATACAAACTTATTGTGTAAACGAACACAGTGACCTATCCCGTGGAATGTCAACCAAAATTCTGAAATGCGTTTCCGACTAGACAGGGTTGCTTATATGGGGTTGTAATATTAATTAGATCGCGTCATAATCCCATGGTATTTCGGACTTGCCGAGATGTTGGCTTTGGGATGTAACCCCTTTCGCCCCCCTGTAAAATCCGAACTCGGTAAAACAACTACTTAAGTAGTATGCATTGCTCAAGTCGATTTAAATGCATTTTATAGAAGACAAGCAAAGAATATGCTTCCTTTCATTTATCTCGTAGCAA